TGTCTCTATTTCAAAATAATATATTTTTGTTTTTTTGACTTTAAATTTGACCCAAATTAGTTGTCATTTTTTTATTTTTTTTTCTTTTTTTTTTAACTAAGAATTTAAAAACAATTCATGATTTTACATATATTATTCTTTAAAAAAAGAAAAAATTTGTGTTGAGAAATTTCTGTTGATAAGATAGATAATTAAAATAATTACTCTTTATTTCAAAATAATAATTATTTTTTATTTAAAATTTATCACAAATTAATTGTTACTCCTTTTATCTCAAAATAACTATCCTTTTTTATTTTGAATTATTTCAAATTAATTGTCATTTTTTTATTTTTTAAAATAAACAAATATTTGTTTATACCTTAACCTTATCATTATCTATTTGTTTTAATTTTTTTGGATAAATATCTATTTTCTTTAATTAAGTATTCAATCACAAAAAGTTTTTGTCTTTTATTTATTTTTTAAAGGGTGTTATAGATAACTACAAATACTATTCCCATGTCCTTAATTTAGGAAAAAAATAAAAAAAACAACCCTTATTTTGAGACAAAAGATGTTTTTTTTTTTTAACTTTTAAGGAAGACAATTATTTTTTTTCTCATTATCCCTAACTTTAATTATCCACCCTATTACCACAATTTTCTCATTATCCTTTTTCTCTTTAATTTGTAAAGATAATATAGATATATATTTAAATTGTCTCAAAATTTTTAATATGTAGAAAAAGTTAAATAATGATAGTTATTTTGAGATTGAGAGTGAATAATCATAGGGTTGAAGTGGGAAAAAAAATTTGTCTTCATTAAAATATAAAAAAGAGTTAAAGTGAGAAAAAAAAATTTTCTCCTTTAAAATATGAAAAATAATAATCAATTTAAAATAAATTTTATAAATAAAAATAACTATTATTGTGGTATGGAGAGAGTAATAGTAATTTTGCATTAAAGTTTAATGTACAATAGAAATAATACAGGTATGCAACAAAAAAAAGTGTACTGTAGTTTAAATTTGTATAAGATTATATAGTATAAATCATTAAATCATGTGACTCTCTAAATGTTAAAGCAGGCTAAATTATAAGACACCATACTAAAAAAATAAAAATTAATGACTATTAACCCACTCAAAATTATTTTTAATTGGATCGAAATGTCAGAATTATTTTTTAATTGGATACAAATGATACAGTTTGAGCCTTTGAGGTCAGCTATTATAGTAACTTTTGTTGACTAATAATTAAGGCAAAACTCAGTATTGAGACCCTCAGCTTTTCCAATTTGCTCACATCAGCGCCTGAAAAAAAAAACAGACAGATAAGTCCTTAAACTACCCTTGTGGTGTGCAAATTAACCCTCCCACTAACGGAACATCTAAAGGACTTTTGATGTCTTGTTACATGGCAACAAAAAATCGATTGATTATACTTTAGCCCTTAAATTTATCAAATTCCAAATGGAATTGGGCCCTAAATTTTGATATTTTATTAAAACTAAAAAAATAGAAAAAATTAAAAAAATTAAAAACACTAACAACATCAATTCAAGTTCACAATCAATTTTACATTTTTTTCCCTAAGCTCCCTAACCACATTAGTCACTAACACAAGAATTACAAAGTAAGAATTGAAGTTTATTGTTTTACAAATCAAGTTTACAGACTCGAACGCTGGTCAGAAAATAGATGCGAATAAAAGAAATTCGACCATAGGGATCCAAACTCAAGCTATTGATGATAGGAAAAATGTCAAAAATAAATAGAGGCCCAAGTAGCAAAATGAACTTCATTCGCTCGTTTTCTTTCTTTTTAGGAAAATGTTATATTAAGAATCACTTTATGAAAATAGGGTTTTTTAAACTTGCGCTTCTATTGCACTTTTTTGTTATTAATTAGCATTAAAAAAATAAAAATTAACATTTATTTAAATAATTACTTAATTAAAATGATCTGCATGATATTAATAGTGAAATTAATAACAATTTTTGTATTTTTTAATATTAAAAATATACAATAATTACACCTTATAGAACACATATTAGAAAAACTATGCAGATATTAAGAAATAATTAATAATTAAGTGAGAGTTTGAACAAGTGGAGACGTGTCCCATTGTTTCTTAGTTGCCACATAAGCAAACGTCAAACCTCCGTTAGATTTTCTGTTGGCTGAGGGATTTTTTTTGCATCAATTGGGTCAAAATATTAAAATTGACTATAGTATAGAAGGTCTTAAAATTTTATTATATTCAATTAAGATCTTAAAGTTGTCAAAATTTTCAATTAAGATTTCAAGTAGATGAAACCGTCAGGTCCATTAATAAATCATTTGTTAATAATTTAATATAATTAAATCTAACTGGTTAGATAACAAAAAAATAGTCCTGAAATTTTTATTTTATTTTTTAATAACTCTATAACTTTCAATAATTTCAAAAAGCTCCCTAAACTTTTTTTTTTTTTTTTGGAAAACTCTTTTATGGTACATTTATTATATTTTCTTATTATTTAGCAAATGCGCAATTTGTAATTTTATATAACTAAAAATACTCTAACAAAATTCATTATAAGTGTATTAAGAATTTTTATGATGTCTATAATACCTTTTTTTAGATGTAATAGTTAAAATATTAAATTTTTATTAATATTAGTTAAAAATTATCATAAAATTAAAAAATAACAATCAAAACTCTTTCTACACAATTTTTTCAATATTTTTTTATAATTAAAAATAAATTTATTTTGTTTAATTCCAAATCACTTGATATTTAAAATAAATTTTTTTGATTAATTCAATTAAAATTTTAATTAATTGAATTATTTCACTTTGATTAATGATAAGAAATTTTTTTACTCAAAAAAATTAAACGAAATTTGTTAATTGGATGAACCATTTGAAAAAAAAATCAAAATTTTGAGAATCAAAACTGAATTTTTGAATTAGGGTCATTTATTAAAATGAAAATCGTTAGTCAAAGTAATACGAAAAAACCAAAGGAGAGAGTCATTTATTGTTCTTTTTTAAAATTTTAATATTTATTTAATTAAAATTAATGAATGCTTAATATTTTAATTATTTGCTGAAAAGGGTATTATAAACCTTTTAAAAAATTTTATTACACTTATGAGAAATTTAGTTAGAATATTTTTACTTATGTAACACTTAAAATTCCACCTTCATTTAGTATGAAGAGAAAGTCTAATGAACCCATTACAAAGGAATTTTTTCCCTTTTTTTGTTGATATGAAAATTTTTGTGGGACTCATAATTAAAATTTAATTTTAATTATCTAAAATAGTTTACTAATTATTATTTAAATGATTAATTAAAGAGTTAATTAATTATTAACAAAATTTTTGGGTTTTTTTTTTGCTATAACAACATTTTTTAGGTGGATCTCACATATTTGCATAGCAAATCTATTTATGAAAAAAATAACAAAAAAATTGAGGCCCATATACATGCCACATTAATTTTTAGTTGTGGGTTCCAGAAAAATTTCCTCAAAAAAAAAAAAAGTATAAGAGTTTTTTGAGGTTTTTAAAAGTTTTAAAGTTTTTGAGGGCTAAAATTAAAAGTCTAAAGACTATATATATATATATATATATATATTATACTTAACTAGTTAGATGTAGGGTTTTAGATTTAATGGTGTTGACAATTGATTTAACTTAACGGACCTAAGAGTTTCCATTCAATTTAAATCTTATTTGAGAATTTTGACAACTTTAGTACTTAATTAAGCACGATAAAGCTTTAAGATTTTAATTGTAAATTTGGTGTAAATTCAAGTCTTTATGTACTACTCTAGCCATTAAAATTTAGGGACCAATTCTATTCGAAATTTGATAAATTTAAGGGTTAAAGCATAATTAAACTTTTTTCAGTTGCCACATTACCAAACATCCAACCTCCTCTGCTAGTCGAAGTGGTTTTTTGCAACATTCAGGTTGCTTAAGGACTCTAATCCCTCAAATTCAAGGGATTAGAGATTTCAATTTATTTTTATTTTCTCTTTTTTTAAAAAAATAAAGTAAATTAAAATTTTTATTTAATTTTTATTTAATCTTTATTTCAATAAATAAAAGTATAAAACTATAATAAATTTTATAATTCTTTCAATTAGATTTAGTTATCTCATTTTTTAAAATAAGGGTGATATGATTTAATTGTCTCATTTTCTATCTTAATATGATACTAATTGTTAATATTTCAATTTTATCATTATCTTTAAAGAAATAAAAATGCATTAAATTTTTTTGTTTAATTATAAATGAGTGAAAATAAAACAATAAATTTTAATAATTGCAATAAATAAATTAAGATAATTAAATTTAATTAAAAAATAAATTTTCTTTAATTTATTTACTAATTAAATAAAAAAAATTATTTACCCCCCGGCCCCTATTTTCCTTTATTTTATTCTATCTAAATGAAGTTCTAAAGATCTTTCTCCCACTTAGTTTTCCTTTTTCCTTTGTTCTTCCTTGATGACAGAGGGGATTATAAAGGTTAGTGTTTTTTTCCTTTGTTCTTCGTTGTTTTTTTTCCTTTGAAGATTTCTCTCTGGAATTGGGTTAGATCTAGGATGTCCCCTTAGAATTATTATTCAAAAAGTTTCGTTAAACGTAAAAAGAAAAATAAAAAAGTAAAATAAAAGGGAAAGAGAAAGAAAGAGCTAAAGAACTGAACATAAAATAAAAAAATAAACTCTGCCGACAGGGCGGTGAAAAAACATCTACAACTTTTGTAATTCCTTGGATAATTGCTTAAATATGGCTGTAAATTGCTAAATCCATGGCAGATGTTAGAAAGGTCTGCACTCTGCAGACTGCAGTACAGCAGTAGTGGCGTTTGGTTGAGAAAGATGTTGAAATGCCCTGTCCCTACAATAAATCCTCGTCAGTGGAAGGAAGATCATGTCGCGCCACCGACACTGCCCAAGGCCCCCACCCCATACTCTCTTGGGAAAGGACTGTCCTATTCTACCTCATGCGCCCTCAAGATGAATTTTCTTTTCTGTCATAATCATTCTATCCGAAACATCTTCAATCTTCCTGTTGGAGTTGTGGTGTCAAAAGAAAAGAAGGGAGAGCTGCACCAATAGCACGGCTGCAGCAAAGTACAGCAACATCGAGCTGCACAAAATGGCAGCAAACTTCTACTTCTTAGTCAATGTGTTAGGTAGAAGTTATTGTATTAGGTAGAAATTACTCTTAATGTATTATGAGATTTTTGCTATATAATGGCAGAAGATGAATGAAGAAAATGGGTTCTCACCTCACCAAATGAGGAAACGCCGGGTGTCTCGCCTTCTCCTTCAAGTCCTCTCTCCGCCCTTTCCCCTAAAACCCCAACACTTCCCTCTATGGAGTTGGGATTCAGAGTCCGCTTTCTCTTACTTGTTCTACTTGATATTTAAAATAAATTTTTTTGATTAATTCAATTAAAATTTTAATTAATTGAATTATTTCACTTTGATTAATGATAAGAAATTTTTTTACTCAAAAAAATTAAACGAAATTTGTTAATTGGATGAACCATTTGAAAAAAAAATCAAATTTTTGAGAATCAAAACTGAATTTTTGAATTAGGGTCATTTATTAAAATGAAAATCGTTAGTCAAAGTAATACGAAAAAACCAAAGGAGAGAGTCATTTATTGTTCTTTTTTAAAATTTTAATATTTATTTAATTAAAATTAATGAATGCTTAATATTTTAATTATTTGCTGAAAAGGGTATTATAAACCTTTTAAAAAATTTTATTACACTTATGAGAAATTTAGTTAGAATATTTTTACTTATGTAACACTTAAAATTCCACCTTCATTTAGTATGAAGAGAAAGTCTAATGAACCCATTACAAAGGAATTTTTTCCCTTTTTTTGTTGATATGAAAATTTTTGTGGGACTCATAATTAAAATTTAATTTTAATTATCTAAAATAGTTTACTAATTATTATTTAAATGATTAATTAAAGAGTTAATTAATTATTAACAAAATTTTTGGGTTTTTTTTTTGCTATAACAACATTTTTTAGGTGGATCTCACATATTTGCATAGCAAATCTATTTATGAAAAAAATAACAAAAAAATTGAGGCCCATATACATGCCACATTAATTTTTAGTTGTGGGTTCCAGAAAAATTTCCTCAAAAAAAAAAAAGTATAAGAGTTTTTTGAGGTTTTTAAAAGTTTTAAAGTTTTTGAGGGCTAA